GTTAATATTTTTAAATGTTCCATTATATTAAAATCTGCAAAATTTAATTGAATTTAAAAAATTTTTCTTAATAGATTTTCAGTTGTTAACAATTTTAATACTTTAAAACAAAACTTTTTCAAAATAAATGCAAAAAAGCGTTTGATTTAGAAAGTGTCCAAGAATGTCAAAATAATATTGCATCAGCGAAGTAAACGCATCACATGGGTATAGCATTACCAGCTTTCTTTGCATCGACGCTGGATTCACATTTTACTTTCCGATTACATCCATACTCAAAGACGAGAACATAGGGATTTTTTAATTTTTTTTATACTACTCATAGATTATAATTTAATTGGCCAAAAAAGTTTTCAAGAACTTTTCTCAGAAAATACTATTGGAAAAAAAACAAAACACACCTGCATCCTATGCGAAATAGATCCTATGCATTATCTGTCTGCTAACAGATCATTAGCATTTCAAGTAAGAAAATACACGGTGGTCCGGTTCAAGTTTTAAAGCACTCTTTAATCTTAATGAAAAAAGTCAATCCTACGAATATCCATTATAGTTCCGAAGCTGTTGGAGCTAGAGCAAACTTGTGTTTGGAAACTTTTATTGAACTTTTATATGAAGTTATAGAAGAAGAAATTTTCAGTTTTTCAGTTCAAATTTTTGTGATTGGGCACCTATTACTTGAAAACGCTAAATCTGACTATTAATCATCAGTATACCGTTGTGTAGGATTATTAATTGAAACCTATATGATTTTTTATGGCATAGTATAGAAGATTGATTTTAATATCAATGTATTTTGCGGAATTTCATACTAAACATACTATTTATTAACATAATACAGGTTTTAAGGCAAAATTAGAAGTAGTGCAGTGCTGCACGATTTTTATATTATGCATATTATTATTATATTATGCGATAATATATACATTCATGTCTTAATTTTGTTTCAATATTTTTAAACAAATTTGAACTTTGTGCTAGGGGCTTCTAGTATAAATTAAATTTAAAAAATTTATAGAATCTGTTAAGCAGCCTTCTTTCAAATTTTCGCTTATTTAAATAATGGATTGTCAAATTCATATGAGCTCCTAATTTATAAAACGTTTTCGCGTAAATGGGTAAATAGGAAATTCTATTAGAAAAATAAAGGAAAGATACTCTTTTAAAAGTTTTTAACATGACACAACAATGTCTAAAAAACATAACGGAAATAATTTATCATTAATTCACATTCTCTCAATAATACAATTGCGTTCTTTTCACAGTTGCGATTAAGTTTCTCATAATGCCTATGAAATAGCCAAAAATAATGTCTTTATATCTAACAAGTCCCAATGCGAAGAGAGAAACTTGAAAGCACGACCTTATTTTATATGGGTTTTTTTAAATCGAAGTGGCTATTTTTTGAGAAGAAATATTAAAATAAATTCACACTTATTATAAAGCAGGTAAAATTTAGAAAATATATTTGAAAAATCAAAAAAATATGTTAATATTTTCATTCATAATTATTTTAAATACATAAAAAACAGCGGAAAACAACAAGCACAACCTTCGCCTTCAACGTTTTATATGTTACTGAAAGCATTTCATTATTGTTAAGTGAACAGCTTTTTTTTCTAATAGGGTAAGTTAACTCAAGATATGGGAAGTAACTGTAGTGACAAGTTGAAAATATAATCAATGAAAAGATAATTATTAAATATTGATATGAATACATAGTAAAGAAAAAATTTGAAAAGGGAAGTAGAAAATAATATCTAAAATACAATCAAATATTATTTTTCCAATACAAATTTTATATATACTTCCAAATTTTACCTCTATTTTTATTTGAGAAAAATTTTTAAAACTTAATATATTACCTAAGTAAAAAAATATTTAAAAGGTTTTGTAAAAGACAATAATATATTTTTATGACCGGATTCGAATATCTTTTTTATTTTTGAAATAACTAGTATCTTAGCAGGCAGAGCCATTTTATAAATAGATTGCTCTTGTTTACCTGCTAATAAAATATGAAAGAAGAGCACAACAAAATTGTTTAAGCCGTCAATATAACATGTTTGAAATAGTTTTAAAATAATTATTTAAAAAAAAAATTATTGGAAGTAGGTACATACATATTTATTTTTAATAACTTAAAATCTAACTGAAATTATTTGAAGCAATTTTATAAGTAACGTATAAATAAACGAAATGAGATAATTCAAATTGTTGAAATGTGTCAACCTATATTACTTTTAATAACATTTTTGTTAGCCGACACTACTCAACTTACCTTATTGGGAAAAACAAAATGTGCATAAAAAATCATACATCCTCCCTCATTAACATTTGAAACCATACTGAAATATGAATTTGAAATTTTTTTTTTCATTTTTTCTTTCCTCCTACCTTTCTTTCTTTTTCGTGCAATAGAATTTAAATGGGAAGCTTTTTAAAAAATGTGTATAACATCCTGAGATTTTTTAAAATATTAAACTCTTTTTTACTTAAAAAAAAAGAAAAAAATAATAAAAAATATGATACGATCAGTGGCAATTAAAGAAAAAACCAGCAACGAAGCCAAAAATTCGTAATATTTCGTAAAAAAAATTGAGTATTGGGACTTGTTAGATGTAAAGACATTAACCCAAATAATAGCAGATTTTCTAATTAGTTGGATATAAAGAAAGTTCTAGACGCAATGATTTCATACCAAAGTTATATAAAAATTGTTATGAAAAGACCTGTTACAATAATATTAGAAAAAGAAATATTACAATAATAAAACTAAATTCTGAACACTTTTAGTAAAAGGAACGAATTAGAAATATTAAAGGAAGAGCATGTTTATTTCTATCTCGCATGTACTTACCAAAAAATCGTATTTTGATAAAAAAAAAAAAACACAGTGAAACCAAAAACTTCAGCTAAGTCTCTTCCTTTTTTCCAAGTCTTATCAAATTGAAATTGACTTTTAATACCGAATGTTGCTTTGTTTTTCTTAGAAAAGTATGTGACGCTGGTACAGAAGGTAAACCAATAAAGTCTTGTATTTTGTTTTTTTAAATTGGTTTATTTATGGATTGAATCGTGGTTTATAGAAGAGTCTTAATGGTAAAATAAATTTATGAGTTCCTTCACAAGACTAAATTTATAAGTTCCTTCAGAATTTTTATTTGTTTTCACAATCAGCGTGCCATTACACTTCCTAACGGCAAGCCACGATCATTTTAGAGCTCGGCAGGTGAGTGTGTAGGCAAATCTGTAGAGTTGAGAAACACAATTTTTTTCCGATAATTATTTAGTTCATTAAACTATTTTTAACAAAAAGCGAAAATAAAGCATTTGCCAAAATAAAGTTTTTATTTTGGTAGCCACATCCATCACCTCATATTGTAATAGTTTCTAGGTAATGGTAATAAATTTTATTACGATTAAATCGTAAAATTTATTTCATAATAGAAGATATTTAACATGGTACCGACTTTGATCATTTCTGTATAATTTTTTCTAAAATTATGATGCAATGATTACATTATGTCAGGGAATGCGTAATAATTTTTCTAAACGATAAATAATCAACCTCTATTAAAATTTTAAACTTTAAATATGTATATAATTTGTTTTATTTGGTAGGACTTATCGAAACTACCAATTTTTTTGTATAATGGCATTACAGCAGGATTACTTTTCTGCAGTAAATTCATGTATCTGCATGTAATCATATGAAAATTTTAATAACAAAAAGCAATTAAATAGAATATTGTAATCTTTTATTGAAATTTTTTGGAAAAGTACGTTATAAACTGCCTTTTGCAAATAAAAATTATATTTTATTATAATAGGTTAAACAAAATATTACAACAAAATATTACAACAAAATTTTAACTGATTAAAAAAAATTTATTTTTTGGAAATAAACACATCACAAAAATTCTAAAAACCAAATTATAAAAGTATTTTATTCCAAAAAAAAATATTTATGTGGCATTTTAAAAAAGAAAGATGCTATAAAACGTTCTGAAGTGAAAAGATGACATTAATTTTAAATAAACTAAGTTGACAGTAGAGAAAAATAGATTGAAGACATTTATATGAACAATGTTATAAATGAAACGCATACGAATAATATGTATTTTATAATATAATATAATAAAGGCATAAGAAAAAAGTTGAAGTGTACTTATATCGTACATACATATAACTTATATGTTACGGAGACATTGTGCAGAAAATTTTAAGGGCTGCCATAAGAAGAGTAAAAAAAAATGAACATTTCCGTTTTATCAAGTTACCAAGCTAAGAAAATTTTACCAACAAATTAAGGTGGTATTTATTATGTATATAAACTTAAAAATTAATCTGATAAAATATATAATTGGGAAAGCGTTGCAAAAGCCTTAAATTTTAAGGAATACTGTAAGCCTTTCCTAAAATATAATGTATTCTTCATACAAACTTGATATGTGAAGTGAAGTGTCACAACATAACCTCCCTTTTTATATGGAATGCGATAAGTAAATGTCCTATGCTAATTAATCTATGCAAATGTATACATCATATTAAGCCCTTCTTTGATTAATTTAAGCTAAATGGGAAATAAAGCATTTATTTAAATAAAATAATTTTATCGAAGAAGTTCGAAAACATGTTTCGTTTTCAAGAGCAATTAATTAAAAATGGTATTTTCAATATTAAGAAGAATATGAGCAACAAACAACACTCTTTTCTGTTTTAAAATAAAAAATGTCAATATCAAGAATTTAGGATTTGACGAAAAGGTTATCAAATCAAATAAGAAATTACTTAAATGGCAACCTTGTTTGTTACAATACTACTTGAAACTTAACTTCCAGCTGAAAGATTTCAAAAAAATACTAACACAGTCGCATATAAAGTGAAAAAGAGTATGCTCTGCTATAGTTGCATTTGTATATGAATTTGTATGAATTTCGCTTTGCAGAACTGTGAAAAATACAGAAGGAGAAGCATAAAAGCGTTTTTGTAAATTAAAATTCAGTTGAAGTTTAAGTTTTGTGCTGTGTTGTTGAGTGAAGCCAGAAGCTCCTCGGCATTTGCTCTAGTCTTTTTATAATTTGCAAAAAAAAAAAAAAAAAAAAAACTATAAAATTTTACATAAAAAAAATAAACATATTTGCAAAATAAAATTAAAAATGTAAAAATATTAACATAATTAAACACATGGAAATTACATACCAAGAAAATATAAAAGGAAACTGCTGTGAATACTCTATAATACTTTTATTTCTAGTTAAACAAGCCAATAATCAAATATTTTGGGGTATATTTTCCATTTGAAAAGAATACATTTTCAAAATTTGGATAACAAAAAAATCATTTGCAATGATATATTAAGGTAAGTGAATTTAATGTGTTAATTGTACATTTACAAAGTTTTAAAAGGAAATTCGCCATTATTAAAGAGCATTAAAAAAAAAGAATTTTTATAATTTAAGCATAATATTAATTAAAAAACTAATTTATTATAAATATAGAAGTGTTTTAAAAAATTTTCATTAAAGAAAATATGTTTAAATAGTAAAAATTTTAGAAATTAAAATAAATCCTGGAAAATTTAAAATAATTTTCGTAATGATCCGCCATCTTTAATTTCCATGAAAATTTTTCTGAACACAATTCTCTTTATTTAAAATTCTTAAATTTGCACATGTATGTAAATGTGTACAGGTTTCGCATGAATTTTATATAAATTTCATAATTTGAAATATCAAGACAAGCCTAAATTTAATTTTTAAAAATTTTCATAATTCAAATATGGTGGGAAATAAAGTAAAAATTATGCTTCAAGTAGAAAAAAGCTGGCGTCATATTGATGGTATCCGCCATTTTGAAAACTGACGAAAATAAGTTTTCACTCATTTTATACGATAATTATATGTAGGTACTTTTTTTTTCATTTGATTATGTGTACATGCATATGTATGTACCAACTATTGTTATACATACATTATTGCTAGCTCCGCATATTAAATATGTACATACTGAAATAACACCTATTATATAGTATGGACTAATGTACAGATTATGTACATATTTTGTTTTAGCTGAATGTATTGGTTTTTTTTTTCTCTTTTCCTATTATGTAGGTTCTTTTTTTTTTAAAATGTTTTTAATTTTTTTATTTGGTTTTGGCGTTGGGATAGGTAAAACATATGGTTGTGTTTGTATTAAATTTACATAGATACAATATAAATGTGATTTGATTTTTATGTTAAATTTCTCTACATCCCTATGCTTTGTTCGTTTAATGTATGTATGTGTGTATGTAAGTATATCTTTTTAATTTTACAGCAACTATGACGAGACGGATGGATTTATACATTGTTTCGTTTATAGTGTTTTCTCTTTCTTATTTAAAATTGCGGTAGTTTATTAAATGTATTTCTGTTTAACATTAAATAATTTTAAAGTTAAAAAAATTAAATAAGTATGGATGTAAGTGCATATGCGTATGCACATTGAAAATAATTTTTTTTAAAGATACATTTTTGTTTCTTTGACATAGGAAAAAACATAAGTAGGCAGGTATATGTAAAATTAGTTTTGTGTGCATTTAATTATGTGCGATGCGAGCATAAAGTTCACAATCCTGGAAAATATTTTTCATTTTCCAAATATTAAATGTGTATAGGAAATTTCAATCATTTTCAAAATATGTATAGGATTTTTTTTAAAACTATTGTGTTATGAATTTTTTTATATATTTTTCACAATGGAGTGGGTACATCAATATGCAAATTACACAAGATTTCAGGTTCTTTTTTTTTGTTTCCAAAAAAATTTCACCCATTTAAAAATGAAAAATGGAGTTTCTGAATTTTGTGTACAATTTTCTAAAATAAACAAGCTATACATACATACATAAATATGAGTCTACTTTCAAAACTTTCAATAACTTTCTCAAAAGTTTTAGCATGAAATATGCAAAGGCAATCAATATTTTCATTTTGTTTTATTTATTTCGAAGTCGCCTGTACAGTATTCAAAATACTTCAATAAAGCCCTGTTTACTTATTTTTAATTGATAACCAATAAGTTTGTAGACACGTTTTTTTATTGCTATTTTTTTTTCGTGCATACCTACATTCATGAGGGAAATGAGCGATTAAAGGCATGTAATTATCTACTTTCTTTGTTTAACTTTTGGATTTAATAATACATAGGCAGCCTAACGCAGTGTACCTTTACGTCAAATTGATAATGCCAAATGTTATGTTTTAGCAAATTTTAGCATTATACCATATAGTGTTGTGTTTTAAATGCAACGAAAATTTTCTTTGCGAATATTCCGAAGAAAAGTTTAAAGTTTATTGTGTGGTGTGCTAAAGCAGTAAACTTTATGACTTCATAAGTTTAAAAATAATAAAACATTTTTCAAAGTGATGTTTCGCATTTTTTTCTGCAGTTCATTGTTGCACACACATGTACTTTACCTGTTAACAGCCTAAGTATATGTTGTTGTCAAACATTTTAAAAATATTTAAAAACAACGATAAATGAACACAAAACTGTACGATTGAGTTCTCATACGTTTTATAAAATGTAAAGCTTATAAAATGCTATAACGCAGATAACTCATAACTGTACAGATAAAAAAATTAATTTTCTAATGATAACTACTTGTTTTTCTGTTTGCTAAACAGAAAATAATCGCAGCGGCATTTCGTTCAAAGAAGGTGTGCTTTAAGTATTTTATGGTGTATTCAAGCATTTTCTAGCAACACTTTATGTTGTAAAAAATAAAAACAAAGAAATAACATATTTTATGTTAGCTTTAAAAGTTATTTGCTAGCTATCCATGTATTAATATATCCACGGTTTAAAAGAAATTTTAAAAATACTTTGCACACCTATTTTTATATACATCTTCAATATAATTTGTACTCGTATATGATGTATATATTCAACAAATAAAAATGTTAATTTTACATACATATGTACATATTTTTGTAATGTCTCAAATTGGTTAAAATATTTATGTATTTTTTAAGATATTTTTATATTCAATACCTTAAAACATAAAAGGACAGAGAAAATTTTTTTTTCTAGTGTAAACTCCAATTATAAAAAAAATAAGAGGCCTTATACTAGCCAGGACAACGCTAACAAGTTTTTTTTTTCTGGAAAGTTTAATGTTTCCTGAAACAAACACTAATAGGTAGTAATACACGGGTGTACCTACCTAGTGCAATAGGGGGTAGGTGCCATTTTTATTTTGACTTAATTTTTTTCCTTTTTCGTGCTTTAACAGCAACTCAAGTTTAAAAAATAGTTTTTAAACTGAAATAACAAAATAATTTGACATGTATAATATTTATTTGACATGTATAAAACGCATTTAGGAAAAGTGTACAATTTCAAGAACTTTTACTAAACTTGTTGGAATTTGATACTTTGTTAAGTTTACGTAGTAAACGCATTATTAAAGTTACGGATACTTTACGTATGACAATATATATTATATTATACAAGAATATTGAATTAGGACAGAAACATGCAAATATTTAAATATACTTCTTTTTAAATGTAGATTATAATATATTTACTATTAACTTTAACAGGTTGGTTGCATTAACTTAGCGTTATGTGCAATTATTTCATCAGATTTTTTTATTTTATAAACGTTATAAGCCTCAGTCTAAACATATTTAAACATAAAAAATATATAGATTCGATAACTCGAGGAAGAAAACATTGTTGTCTTAGCAGGGGACATATTTACATGTTTATGATTAAAATATGAATTTGTCCCACAGCCATGTTTAAATTATTGCAGGCAACAAATCGTAGGTGGAACCTTAAATTTTTTATTATTTTTTTGAAATATGGTTTAGTTTTCTTTTATTAAAATAAGGTAAATAAAAATGCAAAAATTTTCAAAATGAGCATAATTTAAATATCAAAATTAACATCGCTTGTACAATTTATGAAACATGTTGAATATTTCAATAAAATTTGTTTTTTTTCTTTTATGAATCTACATATATTCCTAATTAATGTATAAGGGAGTTTTATACATTTTAAGCCTTTTCATAAACACAGTATATCGCCATATAGAGCGAGAACTGCTGCATAATATTTGTATTAATAAACAAATGTTGCTAATCAATTTTGTTCATAAACATTACTAATCTATCACAAAAATATCTTAATTACTAGTTTTTGCAGTTTGGTTTTACACTTTTAATTGTTAATTATTGTACTTGAAAATAACAAAATTTCTTTTTGCTTTAGTTTTCTTTTTTTGTTTTTGGAAAAATAAAAATTAAGTATTTTTCCTAAAATAGAATTTTCCACTATTTGGTCCAAAAATAAATAATTTTTTTTGTTAACGGCAATTTTTGTTCATGAACGCAATACTGCAAATTCAAAATAACAAAAGTTTTTATACAACTGTCAAAAACATATTGCGTATGTATCACATTATTGTTTTGCAGCATTGTGTTTATGAAAATCTCTTATAATATAAATTTTATTTCATTTTGATTTCATATTTTGTGAAATTATAATTTTTCAAACGTAAAAGATTAAATTGAAATAAATGTTAAATATTATAAGCACTATACTTATACATACAGTTATATACTATATTGTCAAGGAAAATCAATACAGATCAGGTATATCATAAATACAATATTAAATAAAAATCTCTTTCTATACACAAAATGTATGTACATAAATCTTAAAATCAAACACGTACTACACAAATACATATAATGATAAATATTGCTAGATTTATTTTTTTCTTTCTTCTTTTTGTTGACATACCCTAAAAACAAATAAAAACTAAGTAAAATTAATTAAATAAATTTAATATTTCTTCACTCAAAAGCCGTGGGGATCTTTTATTGTTATCGACTTTAAGGTATAACTGTCATTCGCTCTAATATTGGGAAATAAAATTTGTTAATGAACTCAATATAAGAGGTAAAATCTGAGTGTGCGCTAAAATCTATGCCGTTCTTTGTTCCCTTAAAAATCGTATTGTTTTCAAAAAAGGAAAGAAATAGTAGTATATGTGTATATGTAGATATATTAGTATGCTAAAACGTCTCCCCCTTAACACATAAATAAGTAATATAAGTGCGTTTTGAAACATAAAATAAAAAACACATTAATGAAAAGGGCCGAGAAACTTCTATTTTTGAATACATAGATTTTTCTGGTAAAATTAAGTACAGTTATACAAAATTGAATAAATTTTTAGTGAACATTGTTAGCATAAATATTTTAAAAAATGGAGGTCGAGGCCTATAGAAAGTTTTAAATTTTATTTTTGTATGTAAAATTTTGTAGATACTTTATTTTGTTTCAGTAACTCGTTAACTATAAAAA